TAGGTTAGAGCCGACCATGCGTTACGAGGGATGAGAAATGTGGAAGAGAGGCTGAAGAAGTTTCAACGCTTTAGATTACAGTTATGGTGGAATTTTCAGTTTGGACCTTCGTCTTTGGACCTGTGTCTCAAATATCTTTGAACTTAGGTGTTTGTCAGAGAGCTGATCTCAAATGCTTCTGATGCGTTGGAGAAAAGAAGATGCGCTGAGTTGACCGGCCAGGTTGCTGAAGGACCTAGTGAAATAAGGGTTACCACCGATGAGGTAGGGTCTCGCTCTGGTTCCCCATTGTTCTCTCCATGAAATCAAAGGCTTCAGGCTCAACGTACGATTACCTTTGAGGATACTGGAATCGGAATGGATAAACAGGATATGGTTGAATGTCTGGGGACAATCGCAAAGTCCGGTAGCAAGGAGTTCATCGAGAAAGTCCGTTTGAATTACTCATTATTTGTTGTATTCTTTCAACACAGTCGATTAAAAAAGCAGAAATTCAGAACAAAGAGAATGCTGAAGCTGTGATCGGCCAGTTTGGAGTAGGATTCTACTCTGCGTTTATGGTGGCGGATTCGGTTGTTGTGACGAGCAGAAAAGTGGGTCAGCCGGATGACAAAGGACTGAAATGGACATGGAACGGGTTAGTCGCTAATACCTTTCTTCCTAGTATATTCGCGTAATGTTTTCTACTTTATTCAATAAGGTTATCACAGGGGCAATTCGTATGAACTCGCTGATGAATCGGGTTTACCGACTGGTACTCGCGTCGTGATCCACCTAAAACCAGGAGATTCAGCTGAGTTTTGCAAAGCTGATAGAGTGAGAGAGGTGAGGGAGTTTATTCTCTTTAGTATTCTCTTTGAAGAGGGCAGGGATGATACGTTTGAATTCCGCTTACTACAGGTCATCGACAAGTACTCTTATTTTGTTGCCGCTCCCATTCTTCTCAATGGCGAAAGGGTGAACAGTCTGAATGCTATCTGGACTTTGCAACCAAAAGATGTAACAAAGGAAATGCATGAGACCTTTTTCAAGTATGTCACTACTAAACTGTCGAATTCTGTTCGTATCAAAGCGTGTTTTAGGCAACTTGCCAAGCAACAGAATCGTCCTCAATTTCAGAGGCCTTGCTATACTATCCACTACAAGGTAGCTTTTCTGTGAACCGTCTCTACTGCTCAATCACTTGACCATTTGTAGACTGATACTCCTATATCGGTCCGATCGGTGCTGTACATACCGCAACATAAGTTTTCTATGCTAGAGTACGCGGCTCAAGCTCAGAATAGAGACTGCGGTCTGTCGCTGTATGCTAGGCGAGTGCTGATCAAACCCAATGCAAAGGAGCTTCTGCCAAAGTGAGTTGGTTGCCGTATTTCGATTTTGCTGCTTCATCATTTGAGGTTTTGTTGTCTTTTTCTTGCTTCTCTCTCTAAATATCTTGACTTATATTTTGCATATTCGTATTCCTTTACCGTAAGTCGTCCTTTATCTCGGGTATACGGATCGATGGCTAGTTTCTTGAACTCAGCAGTGAATCAGTTATGGAAATTTCACGAAAAATTTCTTCTGTTGGCCAGAAGGGTTCCTCTCCTCCAAAAAAGGCATTACATACTCCCAATTTTCATATAAAATTCTCTTCCCATTTTTAACGTCAAATCTAACCTCGCAAGGATGTTTCATGACGATGACTCATTTTCCAGCTACCTCCACTTCATTATGGGTGTCGTAGACTCAGAAGACATACCCTTGAATCTTAGCCGTGAAATGCTCCAGAACAATCCTTTGTTGAGGTTTGAAGCCATATCTATATACTTAGTACATCTCGCTAAATATCTTTTTTCGTTTTCTATAGAAAACTGCGCAAGATTCTCACCGACAAGATCTTGAACTACCTGCACAGCGAAATGAAGAAAGATAGTGTAAAATATCAAGATTTCTACAAGCAGTACGGTCTATTCTTGAAAGAGGGCGTTGTTACTGAAATGGATCATTCCGATAAAGTGGGTTGCCTGTTTTGGTAGTTTTCTTTTGTGTTCTGTGGTTATCGAAATTTTTTCCTATTGAAGGAGTCGATCGCGAAGCTTATGCTTTTCGAGTCGTCTAATCTGAAAGCCGGTAATCTGACGAATCTGTCTGAATACTGCAAAAGGATGCAAGCGGATCAAAAAGAGATCTATTATATGTTTTCGCCTAGGTAACATGTTTTTTTTTCATGTTTTTTTTTTTTTCGAAGTCAGGGTGTAAGTATTTAT